CAAAACAAAGACAGACTAGGAAGAAAGAGTGACAAACTACTTCCGAATCGCTAGTCACTGAAAACTCTATGAATAGCAGAAAAAATACAGCCCAGTAGAGCTCTCATAACATCTGGGGAGCAGTGTTGGAGGGGATAAAGGGAGGGCAGAAGGAAAAGCTATACTACAGAAATGGCCTTGATGCTGGAAAAAGCGGGGATATCACGTGGACCAGAGTGGAGGCCCAGCATATGCAAAGGCCCGGAACATGCAGGGGATTGTCAAGGAAGTGGGATGATAGATAGTCTAATGCAATAAGAAGAGAATCAGAGTGGGCCCAGAGACAGTGTCTGAGCAGGTAAGCTGAGAGGATACCATGAAGAGAGATCTTGTACATGGTGCTAGAGTTTTCTGTAGTGGAAGGCAAGCAGGAATTTCACAAAGAACATTTCCAGCATTTTGGAAAGTAGATTGGAGGGAATAGAGCTAGAAGCCGGAGAGGTCCACTGTAGTTCAGAAAACCAAATCGCGTCCTTGGAATGAAATACTGGCCATACTCCTGGACTCTGTAGTTCGTGAATGTTGTGAGTCAGTGTGGTCAGGTCGGTTGCAACATAACCACCTGATGTACAACAGCATGGAATCCTGTCTGGCCCTGCGCCGTCCTTCCATTCATTTCTGTGTCTGAGTTCATTACTGCAGCCCACTGTGTCAGTCCAGCTCATTGAAGGCCTTCTACGGATTTTTGCTAACTCTCAACCAAGCATGATGTTCTCCAGGGACCGGTCTTTCCTGATAACATGTCCAAAGCATGTAAGACCAAGTCCTCACTTTTAATAAAGATTGTGGCTACACTTCCAAGAAAGATGTGTTTGTTCTTCTGGTAGTCCATGGACTATTCAGTATTCTTTGTCAACACCATCATTCAAAGACATCAACTCTTTTTTCCCGCCAAAGTCATCAATTCTTCCAAGACGCATGATTGCCAAAACGCATGGAGATCTCCAAGGAATACTAGACAACTAGGTGGTGAAAGGAGACGAAGGACCTCCCTCCTAAACTGTGAGCCAACAGACAGAGTTAGTTCCACTACAGCTGGTGCTGTGAATTCAGACTTCTAGCCTCCTAAGCTGCAAGAGAAGAAATTTCTGTTTGTTAAAGTCTTCACCTGTGGTATTTCTGCTGTAGCAACAGCAGATAACTAAGGCAGTGTTTGGTACTAGACGTGGGATGCTTCTCTAAAGGATACTTAAGCTATGGAAGCAGTTTTGGAATTGGATAATTCATAGGGGCCAGTAGAGTTTTAAGATTTGTTAGATAAAGCGCTAGACTACAATGTCGGCGGTTCAGACTCACTAGTCACTCCCTGGAAAACATATACAGGCTCACAACGAGTCGGAACCGACTCGATTGTCTTCACAACAATAACAATAGTAATCATAACAGCCCAGACTTCCTTGAAGAGACTCTTAGTGGAATTGCGGATGTCAAAGGCAATTCTGGTCGGGGCTCGGAAGGAAGTGAGTAGAGCAGAGCACCAGAGACAGTGCAGCTGGTGAGAAGCAGGGGCACAGAAATGGCAGCAGCAGAGGCAGGTGACTGAGGCTCAATGGCCTGGGAACAGACCTGTGGAGCCAGAGAAGGGAGGTCTGTGACTCCATGAGACCAAGGAACCAGGAAGCAGTAGCTGATGAGACAAGGAACATGGCAAGCAGAACTCTGGGCCCTCAGAAGGTGAAGCCGTGACCTCCGGGGTTTCTGAGTGTGGCGCCACAGCTTCCTAGGTTTCAAAGAATTGGATCTTCTCCAACTCATTAATGGGG